TGACTTCATGTAATTATATTGTGTGTGAGGCCAAACCTTGTAATTCCTTATGCATGTTACCTCGTCCGTGATCTATTCACTTCCCCCTTTGATCGTTTTGGAACAGTTTTATATCACGTTAACGATTCTTTGGCAGTTTATTATTTAGCTTTCTAGCAGTATATATTTTGTTTTCTATATTCTTTCAGACTTTTACTTAAGTCTAGTTATACATTACTTTATCATATTTTATCGATACTAAGGTGTAGTATTGCCAGATCCCAGTTCATTTGTAACGGAGTTTTATATTAACAGGAAACGATTGTAACAGAGTCGATATATTTTAATGTTTGCCATGGGGTGGCAAGTCCCCATACATCGTGGTCCGGTAGTTTCATTGCGTCTTAATATACGCTACAAACTCAATTAGTAATGTTTGTTGCCTACTATTAAAAGCCAGGGAGTGTTTTAGATGAGATTTGTAGTGAAATCAACAAGAAATGTACGAGGAAATTCAATCTTGCAATTTGATGAACAAGAGATCAGAACGAAAGAGAAACCATGCGAATGCTTGGAAACTGTTTGTTTGTATATTGGACCAGTTCAGTATCACTGGCTAAGGAAGGCGATACCTCTTGCAGAAGAAATTGACAAGTTGAAAAGTGAGAAGATTTCAGATCAGAGTATTATCATCGATCTTCAGAATAAGGCTATTTAAAAAAGCAACAAACAGCTCAAATCAATGCAGAATACCGTGCAAACGGAGATGAAAAGCTACTCTTCAGTCGTTAGAAAAAGCTTCAATGCTGCTTTCGCCCCGAAGAGAGATCCACGCTGCAGTTAAAAAATTGGAAAACCAGATTGAGTGAAGCAAGAACGTAATCATTTATGGTCTATCAGAATCAGAGAATCGAGCAACTGCTGAGTAATGTTGAGGAGGTTCTGAATGAAATTAGTGAGAAGCCTTTAGTCAGGGACTGCTGCTGTATTGGAGCTCCGAAAGAAAAATGTATCCAGACCAGTAAAGTTCGCATTGAGCAGTTCTGACCATGCAACACCAGTGATCAGAAACACCAGTACACTACGCTCAAGGAGGGGAACAGCTCAGTTTACATCTGCCCTGATAGGACTGCCACAGAACGAAAAGCTAATAAAAAGCATGTAGAAGAACTGAGACTGAAACGAACTACAGAGCCTGACAAGGTTTCATAGTATTAGGACAATAAGATAGTCAGCTTGTAGAGAGTATAACTAGAGGCGAGACTGTCTAAATGATTATTCCTCCTTATCTAAATTATAAACATTATTATTGATTTCGATCTTGACGTGTGACCATAATTTTTGAGGCCATTACTTGCCAATGATGTCAATGTTATTCAGGATTACCACTTTTGAACACAATAAAAGTATCCTTGTATCCTTGTATCCTTGTATCCTATCAGGTCCAGTTACTACAATGCCGTAGCCAAATCTGTTGAAGGCAATATAAACATTACCATCTTGAGGATGAACTGATCAATCTTTACTGGTTGGATAATGGATATAGAGAAGAGGATTGAATTCAAAATCTCACTACAAAATCTCACAAATCCATACTAGATTGGCTCCAACTTATCTGCAAGATATGTTCGGATTTATGTTTGGTGTAGGTAGCCTCTCTGTAGTAAGCTTCTAAGATGTACAATCAATTTGCTAATTCTTTGAAAATCTTTAAAGCTCTTCTAAAACTTTGTCGAAAAACTATTCAAGTCTAATTTGGTGAAAGACCTTCAATTTTAAAAAATATAACCTAATCGAATATTTTGAAATGGCCACAACCCATTTAAATATTTTAGTTTCTCTTATTCCGTCACATCTTACTATACATTTCTAAACAAAGTAATCGTATAGTATCAATTAAACCAATTCAGTATCAACAAACCACGATTAAAACTATGTAGAAGATAAGAGGTATGTCACAAATAGAGCCGACTCTGGGGAAAAAGCATATGAAAAAAAACCATGGGAAAATTTGAAAATGAATGGGAAACCCCACACAAAGAAAATAAAAATTAAAAAAACAAAAGTAAACCAAAATTACACATCAAAAAGAAAAACCAAAATGGGGTTAAAAAGGGGCTTCGAAATTCGCCCAAAAAATACTGAAAAACACCCTAAATTTTATTGTGGAAAAAAAAGCTTTTAAAGGGGTTTTAAAGCGCCGATTTTCATACCACGGGGGAAAATATTCGAAAAATATGCGCGGGCACCAAAATTTTGGGTTCCTTTAAACTGAATTTTTTGGTCAAAATTATTTTAAAATTTATACTTTAATTAATTGTTTTACAAATATAAACAAAAAATTTCCAAAAAAATAGCATATAAGAACCAAAAAAAAATTTGCCCGCAAAAAAGCCCAAAATTTTTCCATTTTTTTGGTTTTTTACCTCAGAAAAATAAGGGATTTTTTTTATTTTTACAAAATCTTTTTGGCGGCTGTCTTTTTAGCTCTTTCATGCACGTTTTGCCGACATAACCAACAAAATATAACTTGACTCCAAAATATCAAAAAACATGGTTTTTTGGCCTATTTTTGGCCACAAACATCGGTTTTTTGCCAATTTTTACCCCAGAACATGCAGGTCCAATCATTTTAAAACCACTTTCAATCGATTCTACGGTCAAAAATGCTCTAGTAAGGTGTATCTCTGGGTCCCTAGCGTATCGAGCAGACAATGCCCGTAAGAGCCTCTACTAATATTCTTACATTAATTAAACATTCAAACATCTCTTGAATTATTTAAACATTTACATTCATATTAACCAGACTAGGTTCACAACGAAAATTGCAGTGCACGATTTTAAATCATAGGTGACATATTTTTGAAAAATAAGTTTTCCAATCTAAGTGGATCTATACGGATTTGCTATAATTTACAATGTTTTCCTGCCCTATTGACGTCATTTCAAAGTTTCCACTCATGGGTCATGTTCTAGAACCATAATATAATATATCACACTTCTCAAATTTAGTATGTTTTATACTTTATTTTTTAACCAATGTTACTAGTGTTCATAATTATGAATGAGGAGTACCAGAAACCATTTTTAACCCTAAATAGTATCCTATATTGGCTGAATACTTCTAATGAAAAACAATATTTTTACATTTTGATAATTCTAAATATTTTGGCAGGACCCCTCATCTAACCCTCGATCACGGTTTTAGACACAGAAGACATAACACAAATGTTTCACTTCGCCTAGATACAGTTATGTATCCTTAAAACTCTAATCTCCCTAGACTTGGTGACATTGGGAATCGAACACTGAACTTTCCGCACAGAATGCGAAGCTCTAACCACATTTCTATTCATACCAAGTCATGTTCAATGATGGTATTACAGCTCCCATATTTAGAATTATCATAATGTATATTTTCGCTGCTGTATTAACATAAAAATTAGTACAATTTCAGCTATGAATTAACAAATCAGCATCTAGCATAGTGATGTTGTAACCCTGAGTTTGACAGAATGAACAACAATAACAACAGTAACAACAGTGAGGCAAAGCATACTGAGCTTCAACCATTCTTCAGAGACCATGAATTGTTTGCAGAGTACAAACTTCTTTGCAACAATGTACCCTCTGGAGTTTATGTAGTCCCTTCTTTCAAGTCGTTGCAAGTGTGGCATGGAATGATTTTCATCAAAATTGGAATGTTCGCTGATGGATGTTTTAAATTTAATCTATACATTCCTGACAATTTTCCATATTCAAGACCGTCATTACGGTTTATAACTCCTGTGTTTCATCCACAAGTTAAGTCTACTGGAGAACTTAATCTTGCTAAAGCATTCCCTACTTGGACTCCACGAAAAGACAGGATTTGGCATTTGTTGAGATACACTAAAAGATGCTTTTTTTCTATAAACACATTTGATTCTACAAACCCTGCTGCTGCTGAAGCTGTCCATAAGAGTATCGACACATTTAGGAGTCAAGCAAAGTTGTGTGTGGAAAAGTCAATAAAACTATTCAACAAAACTGAGGAAAGTGATATAACTCCTGCGGATGATGGAAATGTTTTCAATGTTAAACCTCTTTCATCTCAAGAGCTGGAAAAAATTAAAGAAAAGCTTTTATCTGGTGTCAAAACCCCATTTTCTTTGGCTTAGAAAAGTTACTCTTTGATAGATTGATTGGACAACTTTTTTGTGATGTTTTAGGATGAGTATTGAGTATCCTCATAGTTTGATTAGAGGGAAGTATTAGCAGTGTTTTTATTTGTATTGAAATGTGTCATAATATTTGTTTTCATGACACCGTCTGAGTTAATCATTTGATTTTAAATTTTACAATGTTTTCCAGTTTCTTCTGAGATTTAGCTAGTTTTTATAACTAGGCTGTGGTTTACTAACTGTAAGTGCTAACCAGGCTTCTTACACAATAATTACTCCAGTTATTATGTTATAATATCAACTGTTTTATTCAATATCAAATTTAATATCAAAATATTAGTTATAAATAATGATTATGCTACAATTTAAACTAAAGCTTGTTTGTTTAAATCCTGCATTTCTCAACCATTATAATTATCCAGACAAAGACCTTTTCTAGGAGGTTTCAAGGAATGAATTAATATATTATACAGTGGAATACCCATTGTTTTCAGATGTTTCTTGGAGACTGTAATGAATTTGAAGTAATGTAATTGGAGACAGTATATAATATTGTTTTCAGTGTAATTAGGAGGTGCCTAGTTGTATTTTTTAACAAATTTCGAAGATAAATTAATTGCATATTTTATTTGAATGCAATATTACAAGGATCATTTTTTTGTGCATCGTAATTGACTTGTTTTATTGCTTATCCTTACAATCTTGAAATAGATGTTGCCTGATCATGTATCAGAATCTTAACAGTAAAATTAAAATACTTTGAATTGTCATGTGAAATCACCATACTGTTATACAATAACCCAGTCTATGAGCCAAAATCTTATAAACCTTATTTCAATAAATATTTGAGGTTTAACATATTACACTTTTTAGCCATCAATGCAAAATAATGACGAAGAAAAGGATGACGTAGAAAACATCCATCCGGACAGTAAATATGATAATTGGACCATCAGAAGTTATGTAAGTTGCTCTTAATTTGATCACTGCACCATGGCCATATATATATTTTTCGTTGCTGTACTCCTACACATTAAAAGTCGGTGTTGATTAGATCTTCGAAATTCTTTGCATCATTTATTAAACATCGTTATCTCAAATTATTTGTTATATAGTAGTGTTGAAAGTATTAAAATATATATATCACAAAAATATCGTCTAATATCTATAAAATGAAAACTTACAATAATTGAATTTGTCATCTAATAGTAATGTCATGATTGAATATTTAAGCCCTAGTCGGCATTGAGTTAAAACTAAAGTGTATGTTCCTTCCTCAGGACGTGAAGACAAAGTATGAAGATATTCCCCAGTGGATGAAAATGTATGCTGAGTCATCTACTGATACTCATGAGTTCTTCAAGGTAAGTGTTACAGTGTTACAGTGTTACAGTGTTACAGTGTTACAGTGGTACAGTGTTACAGTGTTACAGTGTTACAGTGTTACATAACCTCTCAGTGTTTTCCCAGACATTTTAAATGTTTAGAACTTTGATAGAATAATTGTTGTTTAGGTATACTGGGTTGTGATATATTAAAGTCATTATTGTAACGGTATATTAGAACCAGACAGAAACAAAATGTGAAGGGTCTAACTTATCTTTCTTCAAAATAATTGGCTGGTTTTCAGTTTGATAAATTCGAGTACAAAGAATTGGATGACTGGCAGAAAATGTTACTGAAACTTTACAGAGAGGATCTAAGAAAAGTAATACGCTACTATGAGGTTTGTACTCAAGTTTATGGCAAGCACCAAATAGATGTAACTTATTTAACTATGGTATAACGTATGCATCTTTATATCACCCACCATCTTCACTTACTTAAAGAAGCTATTTAGTTTTGCAGTATTTAGTTTCTGCCATCTGCAACAAGAGAATGTTAGCTCATTGAGACATACGTTTCAGCGCACTGTGCTATTGCCACAGAAATTTCTATAAAATCGAATGTGGATACATTTGTATCTAATCAACAAGAACATGAGCCCGTATTGCGAGTGGCTATAATTTATCAAACTAATCGCATTTGGTTTCTTTAAGATCTACATGCCTGTCACCTGAGACTAATACTTTGCCATTCTTACATTCAGTTACCCAAAAAACACGTACGTCATTCCTAAAATTTACCATAAACGTTCCTTTCTCCTTGCACAGGATTACAGAGCCTCCCTGCTGCGAGAGATAATAGAGAGGACAAAGAGAGAAGGAGAGCAGGTCTCCCCTGATGTGGAGCTTTCTGACAGACACACTGTTTGTAATGATCAGGTTAGAATAGTGTTTCAAATAATATATTTATATAGATCCGTACATTTGGAAGTTTTTTAAAGGTGTTTCGATATTCATTATTCAAGAAGAATTTATATCTTTCTAAGAAGATATTGGTTTGAACTAGATCATGATATTTTGATCGGTATATTATTATAATGATATGTCAAAAAACATGTTGTAGTGTGTTTCCAGTTCTAAATTATAATATGCATTTCACTCTCAAGATATACGAATGTTATCATGACTTACCAGAGATAAAAGATAGAAAAATAAATCAGACAGATTCAGTCTCCCCTGAGACTAACCAGACAACAGACCCAGGTCCCTCCACAGATTCTACTAACGATCCAATAACAGACTACATAGCCAGAGAAATGCAAGCCAGTATTTCCAGTAACACAAGCAACACTTTTGATCACAGCCGTGCTAAATTTGACAAAAGTCTCAACAAATTTAGTTCTAATCTGGATGGTATCGTTAGCGAGCTGTCGGAAATCGGCCAAAGGTTTGATTCCGTATCTGAAACTTTAAACCGACTACTCACTCCAGACATACCACAAAGTCCTGATATTCATACCTATGACGAAGAAAGGACTGAAGTCGACTTTATCTCAGAAATTCCACTTGAGGATGCTGTTTCTGACCCCACCACCTCTTGTAGCATCACCACCTCAAACATTTCCGATATTTTGTCTTGCGTGGCTCCACTTCCTAAATCTGACCGTTTCTTAAGGTTTTCTTTGACAATGAGCACCCAAGAGGAACTCGGAACCTTTTCTGCATTCAATGTCTTCAAGTCAAATATACTCAATATATACGATAGGCCTGAAATTGAAGGATCAGAATTTCCACCGTTCTGATACCATAAATTCGTGTATTTCAGAGCTGAACAGTTTTGTAGCTGTAAGTTATAGTTTAGATTTTAACTACATAATTTTTGTGGTGTTTTTAACGACTTTGTACTAGCTTGGCCACGAAAGGTTCGTAACCTACGTTTTAACCCAATTTAATTTCATTCAACGTTCTTGTAACTGTGGCTATCTAGGTGTTAACCTCCGAATATTTCAGACGGAGAAACCAACAGTATCACTGGAAGACAAACACCAACTAAAAACTCTGATGTCCCTGGACAATCACCTTCCCATCGACAACAAGTTATCACCGGACAGGTTGTCTATTGCGAAACTATCACCCCGGAGGCTGTCACCTGTGGGAATGAAAATGTCTACTGGTGACCCGATGTCACCAAGCAACACCTTGTCACCTAGCGACACCGTGTCACCTAGCGACACGCTCTACGCTGGCAACAATTTACCTGGTCTTGCACCCTCTCCCAGTTCTGTGAAGTTTAAAAGATTTGGACAAAGAAAAGTTTCGACTACAGCTAGATCACATAACCCTGTAAGTGAACAACGCGCAATAATTGTTGTCTTATTGCCTTCCTCTCAGCTTTGTTTACAATTTATTTACTGTTCATATTATTTCGACTGGAAAGTTATATCAGAAACCAATCAGGAGGACATGTTGAAAGCGGTAGAAGATTACCAAACTCGGCGACAATCTGATGAAAGTCATGAAACACCCCAGAGCAAAGAACCAGAGATCACTACCTCGACAGGCCCCACTCCAACCACCCCCAACCTTGATACAAAATCAAACAGTTTTCTTGCCTTCAATTCTCCTAAATCCCCTCTCGAACTAGATGGCAGTTTTTCAGAAGTTAAAAGTAACGGTTCAACAGGAAGTTTTGGATTCCTCGGAGCTTCCGAGGAATCTATCAAAGAATTTGAATCTCCCAAACTAGAACGGTAAGATGAAGTCAGGTCTCTGTTACATTACTCGATTTTTAAGATGTTGTTAAAAACAATCATTGCAAAATTCAAGGTATGTAAAGAACGATGAACATTCCTTAACAAAACTCTCCTACTTCAGAAGAGGAAGAGGACGACGGAAACCACGGGGGAAGTTACATTCTAGCTTGTTTAACACTGAAAACATCGATCAGAACAACAGACCAAACGACTTTCCCTCTCCCCAGCATATCAGGTTAAGCGTCTGAATGCTTATTTAGAGTTAGAGGGAAGCGTTGGGTGAGGTAGGAGGGGGTACTATCCTTTAAATTTATTTAACGCGGAAATCGTAATAATATGCACGAACTCAGGTCTACCAGAAAGCTCACTCAAACGCATGTCTGTTGAGTAAAGGGGCCCCGCGGTTCGAATATGGGTTGAGAACAAGTACAGGTTGCCACAGGCCACTATATGTTAAATAATATGTTACATTTCAGTGAATATATTATGGGATGGGAATATTTTAACCAGGTTTAGTCAGAACAAAACCCTGACCGCATAGCATGTAAGGATGCGTCTAACGGCTTAAATAGTTTAAATGGTATAGCTCAGGCGGGAAATGTACACAAAATAACTTAAAGGACTTCATTCTCACGGACAGTACTGAAACTGACATTCTGTCTCCTGTCCCCCTTGCTGTTAGTATGTTGACCTTTCGTGATTAGCGTAATTAGTGTAAATTAGTGTAAATAACTATAATTCCCAGTAGAGCTCTTCTTGATTTGGTAATGTAAGTGGGCAGCAGTCAGCACCACAGCAAATCAGCTGTTTTAACCATAGTTTTAGTACATAGTATCTGAGAGTTTTAACCATCTTAGCAAAAACGTTTCGCATCAGATTTTCTACACAAACTTAATCTGTGAAGAACATCAACCTTTTGTTTCCTTTCCAAGATTGTAGCCCGTAGAATTTTCAGTATAGTGTTTGGAGGCTCTTTTGTTCTGTTACTAGGGACTATATTATAAATTAGGTTTATGTGGAACATCTGCGGGACCCCTGCGGGACCTGACCCCCCCCCCCCCCCCCCCCCGACATCTGATGACATAAATTTCCATACTAGGTGGGATTCGAACTTGCTACCTTCTAGTTTATCCTGACAACCTAGCTGAGCTACCCAACTAAATCTAATTACATTCTTATAAAATATGTATTTAGTTGCTCATCTAATAGGTTTCCAACATTACAATCTTTACAATGTAAAATATGCAACTAGCAGCCGGATAGATTAGCGCAGACACAAGAATTAGTCGTTTGACTCCGAACTTCAAACTCTGAAGTAATGAATAAGTAATATAAGTAATAGTATATATAAGTAATAACGATTGAGTAGTGAGTGAGAGTATTAAGTAAGAGGTTCCTGCTCATATAGCGAGACAAGATCGTTAGTAGACTAGTAACATTCCAGGTGCGGTGGCTGCAGCCCATAGTTCATTTGATTTATAAAATACATGATCGGCCCCTTTTTTAAACGTCTATATTTGTATATTTTAAGAAAGTCTATACGTGCATCGTGCATCGTGCATCGTCTGAAGCAAGTTAGATTTTTTGTTTCAACTTTTCTGCAGTTTTGAACGAAGTTTCGAGTACCCAAGTTGCTGCAGCGAGTAATATCCATCATAAGTTATACTTCATTTACTTTAATGTGAGATTCTCGGGTACAATCTCCTCAATGATTGTCATCCATTCTGCACGATCGAGCATAGCCACCCAAAGTTGATCACCGGCTTCAATTTCGGTATCTCGAACTTCAGTAAATAAATATGTTGGAGGCCTTCTACAGCGGCCAGCTTGAGGAATGGGCCTAAATAGGTTTGTTGAGATTGTCTGATCTTAAACAATCGTCTGCAAAGCAAGCACTTTATTGGGCTTTGACGGAGACAATAGCAGAAAGGTCACAATAAATTTTACCAAGTTTTTAACTTTGAGTGTAAAGAATAATTGTTTCATTGTGTGTAATGCTAAAACTGTCTGACGACATCACGTAATAATTGTCTCATGTCTGAACCATTAATTAGATATGACCGACTTGTAATGAAATGACATCCGAGACCTCATCAGAACCAAATAAGAATGCGAAATATGGACAAAACACACGATATGTTCCCTGAACAGGTCACAATCTCTGTGCTCGTTTCTCATTAATCCGTACTGTGACAAAGTCTAGATTTGGAATCCTTCATGGTAACGAGATCAGACTTTACAGAGCTGAGGTGTGCGACTATGACTTTGTAATATAAGCCATGCTGATTCGCTGAACCCCCTCCCATATCTCAACTAGTTTCTCGGCCCTTTATTGACTGTATTTTAGTATTTAGAACGATTATAAGTCTTTAACATTTTATAAGTGATGAAAGTATTATTCAGTAGAAAAAGTTTTATTTAAGTGAACAAAATTAAATGCGGCGGCCAGAATTTGTCTTTCTTTTGGAGTGGGTATGAAATATCGGGCTGGTTATTAGATATTTGGGTTTAAATATGATATTCAACTAGCTCGTATCTAGACGGTATGTAATGCATAAATCATGACAGCTGAAAGAAATCAGAGGGTATGTTTGATCCCGTATGGTCGACGGTACGGTTTGCCCTTTGTTAGTTAATCTTATATTATTGTGGCTGGACAATGGATATGGATATGAGTATCATTATTCCATACTGTAATTACATAATTCCATCCGGGCATTTCTAATTCAGATAGCTCGTGTCAAACGGCATTTAAATTTCATTATTAATTGGTAGTGATCGCATGTGTGTCGTCTATTCGCTAGAGTATTCAGCGACTTAGTCTTTGACAATTGAAAACCTACCGTTATTTACGCTGTGTTACAAATCTATCTGAATAATTAAAGTCTTTAATTTGTTATTTGAATTTCGTCAACTAACGACAATCACTCTCCGACTGAGGTAGAATCCCCAGAAAGGCAGCAGATCGGCAGAAGTTTAGGGGAAAATTTGAGGCCAAAGAGGAAATGTTGAGAAGGCCTGACCTTTTTTGTGGCACATTTTTAGGAAGCAAACATTGTATTGCGAGGAAATTTAAAACTTTTTGGATGGCAGAATCCTTACTGGGGCCTTTGAGAATCTTATATTCGGCTGAGGTCGGCGATTTTCTGAAACTAAATGTTAGATGAATATTTGCTTTTCTAGATAAGCCTACAGGAACTTTACTTCGGAACTCTTTCTCTATGTTGACAATGCTTAGATTTTTTAGCGCAAACGTAAAATACCACGTTGGCAAAAACAGAATACAGTTTCATTTAAACATGTTAAAATACCAAACATTTCCACTTTTGAATTAAATAATTGAAAAACGGTGAATGATACTTAATTCTTTATCAAGTTTCTTGAAGCAGAAAATTCTGGATTATGAATTTTGATGACCACCTTAGCAACGTCTGTGGCTTCATAGCCACAGACGTATATTATGTTATCCATTTTCGGCATTTATTACGGGAAAATTATTCAAATTTAAAATCCATTGAACCGAATAAGCGCAAAATACGATAAGCGCAAAATACGATAATTCTACTTTTGTTATGACTCTTCAAAATAAAAAGGAAGAACATTTAAGCTAGGAAACATGTCTCAGGCTTTGGGTACGCACAGCTTTGATAATTAAAAAGTGCCATTCTGCAAACAATAACCATTGTGTAAAATCCGGATTGGAATATTGTTTATGATTCGCATGGTTGCAATGTATTCTAGTGTAAATTTGTATTAATAAATAACCATTGTGTTAGAAATAAAACACTCTTTTCAACTATATGTTACATGGCGAGATCCTCATCAAAAAGGATTAGTCTGCGTCGCTGCGTCATTACTTTGTAATTATATACAACTTCGGCGGGTAATATTTCTCCATCCTTTTCAATCTGCAGCTCATCTTCCCCATCTTCTCATGCAATCTGTAAGCCGTGATTATTTGATAGATTTCAGGTAGTATTGCGTAATATATAATATGTACGCGGTGAATATTTGTAAATTGATGACGATAAGTTAAGTCTTATATCATAGCTTTATAACATGTTGTGTCGCTAGTCCCAACCCTGTGGAGCCACGCCCATATTTCATATCAGGCACGTATATAATGGGATATTTGAATCTCAGCTTCTGAAGGTCTTAGAGACTCAAAATTGAGTTTAAAATGACCGCAATGCACATGTTTATATTGGCACTGTGAAGGTCATGAAAGCCCAAAATGCTTATTTTTGGAAAAAAATTCAGAAAAACTGATTTTCACTTGGGCGCGAGTGAAACATCTACTCTAGAAATTAAGTGAAATTAGGTATGAAGTTCAGTGAAGTACGTCTATAAACACAGGATTCTTTGTATGGTCATTCTGCATCGGAATTTATAAGGTACGCAAATCCTAGGGGGGATTTCTACCATAATTGATAATTAAGTACATGTTTGATGTTACTATTTGTTACATTTTGTTTTCTGACAACTTAAAAGCTCAAAAATCTATCATGCCCCTCACAAAATGGGCAAAGAATATAGTAAATTGGAGTTTTACTGTACGTGGTTTCGAGAAAAACGAAATCGTCAGGAACCTGTTCAGAGCGTAACGTCATGGTCGATATTGCGAAATCCTTATTAAGTTATTAGAGGCCATTTTATTTCTACTGCGTGGGGTTGACTATTAAGTTTCTATAAAGGAGGTGGTTGGCAGACCACCTGTATTTAATTGTTATTGTTAGAGTAGTATTCTACCAGCTACCTTTTCACAAACTTTATAACGTCATTTTATTTAAATATCACTATGATTTTAGCTAATCTACAAACACTTACCTGAGGACCTCAGGCTGAGATTCGGCGGAATGGCAGGCTGAGAGCGGCCCGGTAAACAAGCACCTGCTCAAATTTCCTTTTGAATTCGATTCAATGATTTCTCTCCTAACAGCAGAATAGGCATTGGTGCCATAATATATTTGATTTTGTTGCCTATGGTCTTTCTAGCAAATTATTTGCAGCTGACAAACCTGGTAATGAACACACCTGACTCAGATTTGTAATCTTTGGCAATAAAAAGTGCAGTTTTCAAATTCTGATAAATGCCCGGCAAATTTCAGAATTCGGCCGCCAAATTTGAAGGCCTAACTCTTAACTCAAAATTCCACTCCAAAACTTAAGGTCATCAGACAATACGTTGATTCTGAAAATTTCATGAAAAAATATTGAGGGGGGGGGGGGGGGGGG